GAACGGCCGAACGCATCCCCAAGGGGTCCCATACGTTCGGGCGTTCGGGTCCGGGCGTTCGGCCTGTCCCGCACGCCGATTACCCCTGTCTCTTATACACATCTAGATGTGTATAAGAGACAGCACACACACACACACACACGCACACACACACACACACACACACACACGCACACACACACAACCACACATGCGCGTGCACACAGACACGTGCAGACACACAAATACGCGAGCGTGCACATATGCACACACACATTCTCCAGTATAATGATGGGGAGCGGCACCTTCTGGAAACTGGGTTCAGCGTTCCATGAACATCGTGAATAAAGCACCACTTGGGACCCCACACACACACTCTTCGAGTTAGATATAGAGAACATAACAAAATATATGCATAGCATAATCACTAGTTTTTACCCTTCCCCAACTACATCAACAAACAATGGGTTACGCAGTCGTGCCCTCACAGTTAGTCAATTTATAGGGGTCTCAATTGGTTGTTGGAAGGATGTTAAAATTGCACAAACAGCTTCTAGGCAGGTGGACAATCCTTGAAGGCGCATGACCCGTATTGGTTGCGGTCATGGGGTAAAAAATCAAACGGCGCACAACCCCCAAGAGTCTGGAACATAAACCACCAGTTCACTGGCGTGCACTGTTCATCGATTGCAGTACACTGCGAATGGACATTGGTCGTTCGTTTTTTTTTTTTTAATCCGATATTATTTTTATTTTTTTTCTAAAATTCTAATAAGAATATAGAAATGATGATCAGCCAAATGTTGCTTGTTTTGTCCTGTTGAATCACTTTTTTTATTTTTTTTGTAAGGGGGGCGTACAAGACATACAGGTTCTCGTATAGATCTCGTACAAATATTACCTGTACGTTTCGTATGGAAAGTCCTCGTACGTGTACGTTATGCAACGTAGGCCTTATCCTTTTGGACCCAAAAAGAGAGACATGCATGTGAAAATGTTCGATATGCCTTTAGAAGAGAAAATCATGCCTTACCACAAATGAAAGTCGCTACAGAAAGGGGCACTATCGAAAACACTATGGGAAGAAGACAAAAAAAAAAAGAGNAAAAAAAAAAAAAAAAAGACCGACCTTTGCAGCTCTCATGTCGAAGAAAGAGCAACCCAGCAGAGGTCAGCCTGAAGCAAAACAAAAAAAAAAAAAGGAAAAAAAAACTTGATTAGGGATAATTAGTGTGCCTTAATTCCTAGGCTACCAGTTGTCCGATGGCAGGACGTCCTGGGCGGACAGTCAAGGGGGTCCCAGATGTCCGGCCCCGGACAACTCCATTTTTAGCAATTAAAAGCACGAAAAAAATAATAAAAAAAAGGATTTTTATTTTTATTTTATTTTTTATTTAAAAATTGGCAGCGAATTTCGATATGATTCCAAGCCAAAAGTTGTTCAGTTTATTTTTCTGTATAACATAATTTTTTTCAGATTTTTCTGATGAACTTTTTTTTTTTTTTTTTTTTTTTTTTTTTTTTTTTTTTTTGTTTGGCTCGGACAAACTGCCCGGGGAGGACGTCCGACCAGTTGTCCGATCGGACAACCTCGGACGGTCAAGGAGTCCCGGACCTTCGATCAGGTAACCTAGCTTAATTCTAAAAACTGAAAAAGAAAGAGCATGCTGTGACTGTAATAGCTATTAGGTACATTCGGAAAACTGAGTGTGCCTCGATTCGGGATGAGGACATCTGAGTCTCTCGGGTTTGGTGCACTCATAGGGCCTCACTCCACTACTCTCAGAATGTGCAAAATGAGAGTGAATATTCCGCTCGAACGGGGAAAGATACACCGCCATAATTTTCATTTTTTTTGCAATGTTGAGAGTATTGTAGAGATGCTTGTAACGAGGGCATACTCATACTGTTACTTTCCTAGATGTATTTGGCCGCTATTACAGCCTAACATGCATGAATCGAACCACAACCACGTCGCACTGCTCACTCAATAAAGTTTTCACCGTGAGTATGCAAAAGTTTTTTTTTTCCCTTATTTTTTAAAATTTTGAGCGGCTTCTAGGTGTTATCATTGAACTGATGAGCCCTTAACACTAAAAACTATTCCATTTTGTTCTGCGCCCGATGGATTCAAACTCTAGTCTGTATTTCAACAGTTGAGGAATGCACGCATTGAGTTTGAACGTACAATAATCTCAACCCACTGCGCCCTGCCTTGTTGGAAGGGCGAAAAAACAAAACAAAACAAAATTACATGAGCAAAAACAGAGTAAGGGAAACGAGATATGACCTCTTTTTCGTTCCATTTGCTGGTGCCCGTCCCATGTTTAAACTTTTTACCAATACGATACCCGTACCACCCTAAATTTGCCAAGCGGTGGTACCAATCACTTTCAAGCTCAGCGAGAGGAATTTTCAACTCTAGGAATTAGGTACGGGTAAACTGGTGGTAGCTTGCCTCATATCAGTCGCGGGCCCGAAATTAAACTGCACGCCACTATTTTGTCCAATGGTTTTCATTTAAAGAAGTAAGTAAAACGAGTGTCGTGTTTGAATTCTGTGGGGGACCCGTGGGTGTAGGTGGTCGAGGACGCCCACTGTTTCGCCACTTCCAACATCTTCATGTTAACCATCACGCTATTATTTTCCAAGTAAGCAAAGGTACCAGCGGTTTAAAAGTTAGTCAATTTTTCTTGAATAGAAGGATACGTCGAACATAATGCATATATGTTATATTTAGAATATGCAGAACATATTTTCTATTCGGATTTTGAAAAGACAACACTATTGTATTCGAGGTTAGTGTCTGCCCATGTGCTCCTGGTCACTTACATGTGACATGAAGTAGAGTTCTCTTTCTGTCTATTTTTTTGTCTCTCTCTCTCTCTTTGTTTTTCTCTCTCTCTTCGTCTCTCTTTCTCTCTCTCACACACAGACAGAAACACACACACACACACATACACACACAAAAAAAAAAATTACGTACACTCTCACTCTAATATACAAACATGCACTCTCACATACATAAACATTCTTGGAGTTGTGCAGTATAACGAACATAACAAGATATGAACACAACATATTAATCACTATATTATCTTCCCCAATCACATCCACAAACAAACTACAGACTTTGTACTCGTATCCTCATGGTAAGTCAACGGGTTGCCGTATCTATGTTGATGCATGAATTTTTCGGTGGGCGACCACTTGGAAAAGGGGAATAGTGAGGGTTACAGTTCTCTGGTGACCAGTCCTTGGCGCTTTTATTGACTTACTGTGGAGATACGGATGCACAACCTATAGTTTGTCTGTTAGTGTGGTTAGAAAAGGGTAAGGTAGTGATAATTATGTTATGTTTATTCTTTTCATATTTACTATGCACAACTTTAAGAGTGTATGTGTACGTAGGTGTGTGTATGTGAGAATGAGTATGTTTATGTTGGAGTGTGTGTGTGTGTGTGTGTGTGTGTGTGTGTGTGTGTGTGTGTGTGTGTGTGACAGGGAGAGAGCTATGCAGCACACAACGTGTTAGTAACTGAAAGCACATGGGCAA